GCCCGTTGCAAGTATGATTTTAATGAAATAGCAAAACTAGCAAAGTTATGAGCTTTTGAAGTTAGTAATACTATTTTTCACTGTTTCCCCAATGATTCGTGTTACTGATTTTCACATCTTTGATAGTGCTCAAATTTTATGGATAAATAAAAACAGGTTTCTGTTTAATTTCCAAAACTACGAATTTTGAACTTTTTCAAAATAAGTTCGTTTTAAAGCCGAATCCACAAATATAAGGTTCATGAAACCGAGAAAAACTGACCAAAAGTTATGATAATTCCAATTGTTTCACTGTTTCTCCAATGGCATTTTCGATTTGAATTTTTTCCCCATTTTTGATAAGTAGTCGTCTGATTTACATTGATTTAACAAATTTCTTGTTTTGTTCGCTTTGAACTTTGGACACAGATACAAAATTATCTTTTTTTTAAATTGAAATTTGAGTTTTCGAAATTTCAAAATTTTTGAAGATTGGTCATGTTTTTACTCAGTTTGAAACTATTTTTGAGTGGAATCTAACTATATAATTTTATTATTTTTCTGAGCGAAACTAGAAAAATTAGGATAATTTCAATTTTAAAACTATTTTTTTCACTGTTTCTCCATTGACATTTTTGTGTTGAAGCTGACGTGTTGCGTTTGTTCAGAACTTTAATTTTCTCAAATTAAGTCATGTTTATACTTTGAAGCTATTAATAAGCTGAATATAGAAGTCTGCTTTGCATACATATCTGATAAAACTGACAAAGTTACTACAAAATAAAATTGATTAATACTATTATTTTTCGCTGTTTCCCCAATCACATTTTTGTGTGAAGTTGTTCAAATATTCGATAATCAGATCTTCCATTGAAAGGTATGAATTTTATAAATTTTTGTATCAAAACTTTTTTCGAATTTGGTCATGTTTATACTCATTTTGAAGCTATCAATGTGCTAAATTGAAATATTTGAGTTTCATGAACTTTAGTCAAAAATTAACCAAGTTATGGGCTTTGAAAGTTTATTTTATTTTTCACTGTTCCTCCAATTACATTTTTGTGTTGAAGTTTGCCACATTTTTGATAAGTAGTATTCTAATTAACCAAAAATTGTTTCCATTCATTCGCTTCGAGAAAGTTAGAAAACTATCTTTTTTCTTGAAATTCTAAATTTTTGGAAAGTTATGAATTTTTAAAAAATCTCCCAATTGGCTATATTTATACTCATTTTGAAGCTATGAATGAGCAATGAAAAAATCATAAATTTGTGAGCAAAACTAACAAAATTATGGTAGTTCCTATCCTTTACATTTTTCACTGTTTCTCCAATGACATTTTTGTGCTGAAGTTTTGATGGTAAAGTTCTCAATATGAGTTTATAAAAAATATTTTTCATTTGCTAATTTTTCGAATATTCAGAATTCTTCAGTTCGTCATATTTACACTTATTTCAAAGCTATGAATGAGCTGAATCGAAAAATATAGTTTTCGTAGAGTTCAGAGTAAAACTTACGAAGTTATGTGCGTTGAGAACGTATACTATTTTTCACTGCTTCTCCAATGACATTTTTGTGTCGAAGTAGCTGAGTGGGTAATATTTCGCCCATAAATTCGATTTTTCAAGGGACAAAAATCAAATATGCCAGATAATGATCCTTCATTACCATAAAACTTTTTAGGTCCAAAAACCGAAACTCGATTTTCCACCGATTCATGGTCCATAACGCTGGCGCTCATCTCGGCATGTCCCATTTGAAAACCGAATGGATCCTGATGAAATCTGTTCATTTTTTGGGTGATTATGATTATAAACCAGATGATCGATTGGCTAGAGATTTGACACCTCTGACCACATATTCAATGAATAAAAAGAGGAGATGGGAAATTTTAGAAAACGTTGGAGACCAAAAATTGGCAGGAATAGGCAAATTTCATAGGGACCTGGACCCGGATGAGATTTTGTTTTTGGAAAGAGTCAATTTGAAAACTTTCGAGTGGAAGTGTGAGTTTTTGATTTTGAAACTCGAGCTTGGGGTGAGTAAAGCCAAGGTAACCCAATTCTTTAAAATTCGAAAAAAATTTCAAAAGTTTGTCAAATTTATATTCATTCAAAATAATTTGAAACGCTTATTACATTGGTACCGTTTTTATAAATTTTGGCAGAAAATTGAAACAGTTATGATCTATTGAATTTTTGAAGAATGATTTTTTCTCGAATTCACATTGTTAGCCAAATTTGTATTCATTCAAAAGCTCTTACAAAGTGTCATATCTGAATAAATTTTTTTCTAATTTGGAGCAAGACTGACAAAGTTATAGGTCTTTGACGTTCTAGCACATCCGTGTAGTCCTCGTGGACAAAAACATCCAAGATTTTCAAAGTTTCTCAAAATTGGTCATGTTTATACTCAATTTAAAGCTATGAACAAGCTGAATCTGAATATAAAGTTTTCATGAGATTCGGAACAGAAATGACAAAGTCATGGAAGTTTAAAATTTAAAAAACTACAGTTACACTAGTTTTTCAAATTTTCCTTCGATCAAAATTTTATAATTTTTCGAAATTGGCCACATTTATACTTTTTTTGAAGCTATTAAACAGTTAAATCTAAATTTATAGCTTTCATAAAGTTCTGGGCAAAAATAACAAAGATACAGCCACAAATTTAAAGATCTCCCATTCGTCCATGCCCCACAAGATTTTGGGATTCAAACGCTACACAGTTACAAAATGATTTCTAAGAAAAATTATTCTGGCCATTTTAATTGTATGTCCCAAAATTCAATATTCGGACAACCATACTCCAATTTTCGTCCCGAAAATCGATTGCCAGAAAAACCCAAAAAATCTGGAACCTCTGAAATCAAAGCGGACAAACAATCTACAATTATCGTTTATAATTTTTTGAGAGCTCCAAGAAATTATATGCGACTCGGAGAGCAGTATTTTGTGGCGAGCAATTATGGAAGAAGAGGTGAGTTTTTTTTGGAAAAAAAAATCCAAAATTTTGAGATTTTTAGAACCCTATTATGCCCATAGAAGACGAAAATTGAATTATGAAGATTCTCAAAAAGAGATAAACAATGAAATTTGGAGATTTTATAACAATAGTCTTGATGAACTATCGGAAGAAGTTAACGGGTCAGAAAAAATGGAGAACTTGAAATAGTAAGATTTTTATTAAATTTTTCGAAAGAAATCTTGAATTTTCAGCTACGATCTCTACGCTCATCTCAAAGACGATTTTGTTTTTGTGAAACAAAAAAATCGGAGAAAAGGGAAAAATAAATAACTTGAATAAAACATTTTGAAATTTGGTTTTATCAGACGTATTGAAAAAACGAGAAAACACTAAATACTATACGAATCACTTGTAACAGTAATCACACTACTTGCATCTTGAGCTCAATTATCTTGGTTTCTATAAGAGATAGCAAAACATTTGTCAACTGATAAAATTTTTATCATAATATCACCAATATTTTTGTAGTTAACAGATTTTTGAACCGAGTCAATTGAGCTCAAAGTTCAAATATAATAGTCTTAATGAGATTTGCCTTTCTGCTAGTTGAATCTTTTGAAATTGTTAACTGCTTCATATTGAACATATGATTTTTTGTGCATTAATGTTTTGATCTGTATTCGATTATGAGAATCTAACTTCTAATTCCGATCAGACATAACTCACTCAATTTTTTGCAAATTTAATTCGAATGTTTCCTGTTTCATTTTACCAAAAAATAACAGTAAAATTTTGACCCTTAAAGGTGGGGGGACAGGAGATTTGACGGGGGATTTTTGGGGCCAGAGTATGCATTCTACCGTAACGGTGTTCAACGCTTAATGTCACTCTGCGTACAGCTGTCGTCCTCGCCTTTATGTATGCAATCGGGCGTGCGCTTTCTCTTTGCCCGCGTGGCTCAGTCGGTAGCGGCGCCGCACCGTCAATCATCGCCCTCACAAGTTCAACTCCTCGAGGGGCATCTTTAAACGGAATTTCAAGAAAATTATTTTTTTCATGTCCCCCCAACCTTTAATGAAGTTGTTCTATCACACAATCAGAACTCCCATTGTGCATTTTTGTTAATAAATAATTTTCTCAAAATAAGTTGATTTAGTGTTTTGCAGTGATGGGAGGAATTTCCGTTTCCGTTTCCGTTTTCCGCCCGGTTTTTAGAGATTTTTTCCGTTTCCGTAAAAGCGAAATTCTATTTCCGTTTCCGTTTTCTGGGAAAACCGTCAATTTTTTTCAACGGAAACGGAAAAAAGTAAAAATTGACGAAAAGATTAAACTGAAACTGGCTCGAATAAAAGAATGGATAATGAGGCAAATATAGCCTTCAAACTTAAAAAGTTTTTATTTTCATGTTTGATGGGAAAACAAATCCTGAAAAATAGACGAAAACAGAAATTTCCGTTTTTGTTTTCCGCCCGATTTTTGAAGATTTTTTTTCCGTTTCCGTTTCCGCGGAAAAAAATTACGTTTCCGTAAAAGTGAAATTCTATTTCCGTTTCCGTTTTCCGTATTTCGGGAAAATGCGTTTCCTCCCATCACTGGTGTTTTGAATGTCTCAAGAAATATGAATTGTTATGTGCTTTTTAACTATGTAAAATACCGGTAAAAACCTAGTATTTCACTGGTTTTTTACCTAGTAAAATAACCCCATCAGTTAATCGATTTACTAATTTTCTGTTTCTCACACCCAAATTAAACTTATTTTTTTGATCACCCAGTATTACTTTGAACGTATGGCCAGCTAATTATCACTTCTGGAAATCGGAAGTGAAATGTAGCGGAACCCGGTGCACCTTCATTCCTTCCATATGAAAAGTTCATTGAATAGGTCCTCGATTTTCCAGTTTCAGAATTTTGTGAAACCTGTATATTTTTTGACAGTTTATCGGTCTCTTGACAGTTCGACCCAAAATATTAGATCTAGGAACTCGGAAAAATATTACAGTGAACAGTGCTTAATTCACAAAATGGGCGTGAAAAACATTTCGGTCAATTTGAAAGTCACTCTGTTTCAAACTGTTCAAACTTTTGAAAAGTTAAAATTTTTGTTTCATTATCCTGCTGAAATTGGTCGAATCTTTCAATTTTTTAAATCTGCATTTACGTATTCTCAATTTTGTCAACTGATAAAATGTTCGTCATAACATCAACAATATTTTATTAGTTGCCACACTTTTCATAAATCTCACAGTAATTGAGATAGTTGAACTCAAAGCGTAGGATGGTGTTCTATTAAAGGTCTGTTTCACGGTGCGAAAAAAAAGTTCAAACGTGATGAAGCAACTTGAAGTGGGAAGGGTAATATGTAGTCGGTTGTCCATTTTAGAATATATAACTTTATATTTCGCCAGAAAGGATTTTTGAATTGGTCTTCTATTTTACTAGTCCAATCTTCTGTAAAATTTCTCTGTTACGTATTGAACATATAATTTTTACATGTTTTCATTCTTTGCTTTCATTTGAATAATCTGGAAATTGCAGAACTTGCTTGTTAGATCTACAAAACAAGATAAGCTCATTTTAACAATAAGTAGAAGTCATTTCCGACTCTTTTTTCACCCTTTGCTTTATCCTAATCGATAATTGTCTATACAGTTTTGACGACTTTTCAAACCCTCTAATCACCAATTAAAATTTTTAAAACCAATCGATTCAAAGAAAATATGAGCTACGCCGTAGTCCTCCTTTTTGTTGGTTTCACACAATGAACAATCGGAGTTGTTAGAGGTTTTTTCATATACTTGTCTTAAAAATTCCTTTTTTTTTTCGTGATTTCTGATAACAAGTTTTGGAAAAAGGGTACGTTTTCTTCTCGAACTTTTGAAAATTGTTCATCACTTTACAGGGTGCGGCAAAAGTATGGTAACACATTCAATGTGATGTAACTTTCCCAAAATGGCCCTTATCATCATGAAAATTAGACAATAGTTTACTGAATACTTTCTAAATCTGAAATTATAAAACTTGTTCGACGCGGTTGCCTTGTTCTTCACAACATCGATGAGTCTCTTCGGGAACGCATCTACTGTGGCACGGGGGTATTTTGGAGATAAATTGACCCAGTCTGAGACCAAACTTGATTTCAATGGCTACAAATTTGGTTCTGGACGTGCTTGGAGCCTCGACTGAAATATTCCATATGCGGAATAGTCCAACAGATTCATGTCTGGCGACGAGGGTGACCATTCGCAAGTCATACTGAATATTGAAAAATTGGCCGTGCATCATTGCTGAATGATTTTTGTCTTGTGAGCGGGAGCAGAATCCCGTTGAATAGTCCAAACATGGTTTTCAAAATAGGATTTAGCCCACGAAAGAACATAAACCTTGAAAATTTCTTCACACTAGTACTTTTTGTTGATTTTCACCCCTAAATCTACAAAAATTAGAATTTGGAGGTTGTTGCACCAAAACCATGACGTTCTGATGATATGAAAATTTTTGGTCATGTTACTATGCCTATTAGATAGCTCAGATCTCGGGAAAGAAACTAGATAATTTTTCAATGAGAATTCGATTTTCGGATCTCCAGGCTCATTTTTTCTTTCTTCGGTGCGGATTTTGACAAACTCGTTTTTGGACGGTCTTGCATTTCTTCAGAATGATCAAAGTTTGAGATCTTATGTTTTTTAGACAGTTCTTGACAGTATTTAACTAAACAAACCATTCCATGGTTATCCACAGGGTTGTTCGTAAGATTCCAAACGATTTTCCGATGCTACCTGTGCCCACCCCTCTCTTGGCCACATCGACGAGGGTACCTAGGTGTATAGAACTTGTCACCATTTCTGTAAAAGTCAACCAAAAGAATTGAGAATTTGGTAATAAGGTAATTAAGACATGCTGAAAATAATGAATGTAAAATCAGGACACTAAAAGTGCGCTGCGCCCACCAGCTTGCGCGAAACTTGTGTTACCATACTTTTGCCGCACCCTGTAATTTCTACAGTAAAATTGCAAATTTCGTATTTGAAGTAGAAGTATGGGTAATTTGAGTTAGTTTGCGAAGATCAATTGACAAAATTTGCAACGGCACATTGAAGGTTTAAGGTTTCTTGCGCTTAAAAAGGAGGAGAAAACATTCAACCTTGAATAGGCTTAGTATCTTCATTTTGTTTTTCAATTAGTCGATAAACGAAAACAAATTGGAACCAAAAATTCATAAATATTTGTATTCTTGGTGAAAATACTGTTAAAGAAATCACGGTATGCATTCTGACGGGACCGTATTATAAGATCAAGTCTTTGAATAGCTCCATTGCTTGTAATCAATTTCGGACTTACTGAAACAATGAAAATATTTCATGTTTTTTTTGCACTAATTATTTCTAAAACATTTAGAAAATGTTTATCAAGCCCAGACTATCAGTGTGCGCTTTCTCTTTGCCCGCGTGGCTCAGTCGGTAGCGGCGCCGCACCCTCAATCATCGCCTTCACAAGTTCAACTCCTCGAGGGGCATCTTTGAACGGAATTTCGAGAACATTATTTTTTTCATGTCCTCCCACCTTTAGGAATTATGAGCTCATACTAAAAAGCGCGGTTCTAAAACGTCTTGTTGCAAAGTAGCCAGTATACGTAAATGCAGATTTAAAAAATTGAAAGATTCGACCAATTTCAGCAGGATAATGAAACAAAAATTTTAACTTTTCAAAAGTTTGAACAGTTTGAAACAGAGTGACTTTCAAATTGACCGAAATGTTTTTCACGCCCATTTTGTGAATTAAGCACTGTTCACTGTAATATTTTTCCGAGTTCCTAGATCTAATATTTTGGGTCGAACTGTCAAGAGACCGATAAACTGTCAAAAAATATACAGGTTTCACAAAATTCTGAAACTGGAAAATCGAGGACCTATTCAATGAACTTTTCATATGGAAGGAATGAAGGTGCACCGGGTTCCGCTACATTTCACTTCCGATTTCCAGAAGTGATAATTAGCTGGCCATACGTTCAAAGTAATACTGGGTGATCAAAAAAATAAGTTTAATTTGGGTGTGAGAAACAGAAAATTAGTAAATCGATTAACTGATGGGGTTATTTTACTAGGTAAAAAACCAG